TGTGGAAATATACAGCTACAGAAAAGGCAAGAACAATGGCATACCAAAGATGCAAGTGATGTTGGAAAGTCTTAGCATAGGGAAACCTTAAACAAGCCATTGCCTTCCAGCTTGGAAAACAAGTACAATAACAACAAAGTTCTAGACAAGCTGTTACATAATGAAAAAGGTAAACAACAGTGATTATTTAAAAGCAGTCTTAACAGAAAAAGTAAGGCACCAACTCAAACTGGCAGGCAGCAAGCAGGTTCATAAGCAAACAAAAGGAAGTTCATTTTCACACAATACCTAATGATGTTGTTGAACTTATTGCCACGGGATGTCACGTCAGCCAAGAACACAAGTGGATTTCAAAAAAACAATTAGACAATTTTGTGGAAAAAAAGTCCATCAAGGAGTATCAAAAACAATGATACAGCTTCAGCCTCCAGCTCAGAAAGGTCCATAAACCAGAAAGCAATAGAAGCTGGGAGGGCTTGCCAAAGGAAGTATTGCTCTTTTCTTGTCTTGTTTTCCATATTCTTCCCATGTACAAGTTATTAGCCATTATCAAGAGGAAGGATATGAGGTTAGACAGACTTCTGTTGTGACTCTTTTCTACTTGACCAGTAGTAACAGATACAGATATAAACACACACACATCCATGGATAATTCTGTAAAACCCTGGTACAGTTGAGGGCACGCACTTTTAAGTAATAACATAATAAATGACATTTTTTCTAATTTGAGTAGGACTGGAACTGGCTACCTGAACGTGGTGTTTCATTAGTTATGGTCTAAGTCTACATTTTCCAGAGATGAGTTATGATATTATCCTCCTTTTTATTACCCAACCACAGCAATAGAGCATAGAAGGAACTGGCTCCAAATTTCAGCTGTAAGCCACACATTGATTCACATTCTGGTGAGTGAGAGCATCTCAGCTTAAAATTATCTAGAGAAGTATTGAAGTAAATGCCTGCCAAGCCTGTTAATCATGGCCACGCTGCACAGGTGCAGGTGCTTCAAAACACAGATTATACCTTTAAGTCACACTGTAGGTCTAGAGTATAACTTGAAGCCATGTTAAGCCTTCAGCATGAGGGAGTGAAACAAACCCTAAAGATCTTGTTCCTCATAGACTCCAGCATCCTTGCAACTGGAATGGCCTTCTTCTCCTTTACCAGCAGTGAAAACAGAGAAGGAAGTGACTCACTGCAAACTCGGCAGCCCTCACTCCTTAGCAGCTATGATCCTATGAATCAGATGAGAAGCCTGCTATAACAGATTACTTATCACCCTTTTCTTAATTGTTTTCAAAACCATGGTTTAAAAAAAATAAATAGATGACTGTGAAAGAATTTTACAGAGATGCCCATCTTCTAACTTCTGTCATGTTTCTTGATTCAACTGCAATGGGAAGGAAATGCTGCCCTGTTAGTGTGAAATTACAGTGTGAACTACAATACAGAGGGTACATGCAAGATACAAGCACTGTGAAAAAAAAGCTTGTGCATCAATCAGTGGCTGTGTAGCAAGTTGCAGTGGTGTATAATATACTGAGTGGCACAATTACACAGGTAAGTTTGCTCTGGTAAGTTTGGCCAAACACAGAAACCTAATGGCAACTCTACTCCTGAAATTCTACCACTAATCCTAGGAAAAAATGTTCCAAAGAAGATCCAAACAGGGGCAACAAGGCATGCGAAAGGCTTGGAGAATATGCCCTACGATGAGTGACTAAAGGACGTGGTACTGTTTAGTCCGGGGAAGAGGAAGCTGAGGGGAGACCTTATTGCTCTATTCAAATACCTGAAAGTTAATTGCAGCAAGAGTGAGGTTGGTCTCTTCTCACTGGTGACAGGATGAGGGGAAATGGCATCAAGTTGCACCAGGGAAAGTTTAGGTTATTAGGAAGAACTTCTTTACAGAAGGGGTTGTTAAGCACCAGAATAGGCTGCCCAGGGAGGCGGTTGAGTCATCATTCCTGAATGTGTCTAAAAGCCGTTTGGATGTGGTGCTCAGGGACATGATTTAGTGGAGGGTTGCTAGGGAAGTATGGTTAGGTTGCAGTTGGACTTGATGATCTTCAAGGTCTTTTCCTGAGCTATTCTATGATTCTATAATTCTAAATGGAAACAATTGCACCACTCTCCCCCAATAACGATTCCTCCTCCTATTCAGCATCTAGTGCTTGTAAAGGTATGAATGTCTATAATTCAAGTTAGGAATCGATTCTATGCTTAGCCATAAGAAGAAAAGGGATACTTTTCAGAGTGAATAAGCACCTCCAATTTCCAAATGGAGAACTAAGGTAAAGCTGTGTACATGAGGATCAGAAGTTCTGATGTTCATTTAGACCTGCTTGTATGTGACTTGTTCCCTTAAGTACAATAGAAAGCCATCTAAGAAGCAAGAACTGTCTGCTAATTAAGTTCATGTGAGTCTGAGGTAAGTCAGAACGATTCTGCTTGTTAATTCATGTTGGGATTACTCCAAGCAGCAGATCCATGTCTGACACTGAAATAAACAACTGGAGAGGATGGGACTTCCCCTTTTGAAAATCACATTATTCATTTAGGCACCTGATCCTAAGATCCAGGCAGGCAAGTCTAGAGCCTTATCCTTAGACCCTTACTTTAATTCCACCACCACTTCTAAACTCACCACAAAAATATAGACATACTTCTATATATTGACTGATCCTGTTGCTTCATGTTGCCTTCCATTAGAAATCCTTTCACAGGAGAGGGCAGCAGTATTTGTAGCACACTTCCTAATACAGTATCTGGCACAAATAGGGCCTGTGCTGGGTTTAGGACCTGGAAGTGGTAATACAAAAAATAATAATAATACTAGCCTAAGTAAAAACAACCAAAGATAAAAAACAATAAACCATCCTCTACCCCTCTTAAGAAAATTTGTTTATTCACCCCCTCACAAAGGGGTCTGCCCTGTTTATCTGCCAGGAAACCTCAGACATTCCTTGCATGTGCAGCACAGATGGTCGCCACACAACAAAAGGCAGAAGGGCTCCCTGCACATGCAGAGTAGACGTGTCTGGTTTCTGGGTATACAGATGCTTGGTCAGAGCTACTGCTCCAGCAGAGCTGCTGAACATTCAATAACCCAAACAAATGCAGAAAGACATCAATATCCTCTGAACAACATATCTTAGTGGAAAAAGACACTGTCTGGGAAAGAGCAAATACACAGTGATCTTAGTTGTGGGCCTTCATTCATTAGCGTACATAAATTGTTTTGAGATACAGAGGTGGGAGGTGCTAGGGAAGCAGAAATATTATTTATTGAAGCACAAGGCTCTGCTGTTTCTTTTTCTTCAGATATTCTTCATGTCTCATTCTTGATTTACAGTCATTCCTACTTCACTTTTTTTTTTTAGCTATCCTGACCTTCTCTTTGCCAAATGGAATTGCCTCAGACAAAGGATATGCAAGGATCTAGGTTTACTGATATTGCATTCACTTGTTTCTTTTCTAATTAATTAACTGCTTTGAATCCAGTCCTGCTCTTCTTTTGTTTTTATAGCAAGATACAAAACGCAGCTGCTCTTTGCATATAGCACTTATTTTGCAAATAATGTTTTTTTACTACCTTGCTAACCACACAATTCTACAGCATACAGCAAGGGGTATGCAAGTTTCATTTTGGCCAATCAAGTATAAATATTGCTGGTTATTCTTCTGTAAATCAAAAGGCTAAACTGTTCAGCAGTAACATTTTCAGTTACCAAGGTAGACAAGACAGCCTTTAACAATAGAATAAACCTGGGCCACTGCATAAGCTAGAACACAGAAAATTAACTCTGTAACACACGATGTACTGTGATGCAAATGGTTTACAAGCGTCTGTCTTCAAGTAATTGCTGATTGCATAACTGTACTCTATCTTCTACAAGAAAAAATAGCTAAACACATTTCTTCTTTCACAGGAGTTATTCTAGCTTTGAGTATTCAAAATACATACCTTGTCTCTTCCCACAATACTCTCTCACTGCTTTTTCCTCAGCTTAGTAAAAATGTAAACAAACCAGGAAATTAAAGACAAAAAAGAAAAGAGAAAACTACCTTTTCTGCATCCTGTTATGCTTAAATAGAACATGTTGTACCAGCCGGTACAACTTCTCAATAAAATGTATTGAGGACACTTCAAAAGCTGACCATAATCGTGGAGAGTTAAGTGAGGAATGTCAGCTTGGATGAGGGATTTCTCTGCTTTTGTTATGCATTAGTTCACCATAGAGGTTTGTGGTTTTTACTTTATCTTGGATTTTACTGTAATGTAATTGAAATCGTTTACTTTTTCAGTTTCCTAAGGATTCCTCTAAATGATTGTATGGATTTAGGTTTAAGGATATTGTAACAGACTCAGAGCCTCCTGAAATCAGTGACAGAAGCCTCTGTTGAGTTTGCCCTGTTCTTTGATGAAAAAACTATTTTGTCCTCTCTATTCAGAATACCCCTAGGATCTACCTCCAGACATGTTCAGAAACAAGGTGAAATTCTGGTCACTACCAATCCAGAGGCAAAATTCACACTAACTTCAACAAAATCATGTTTTACAGAAGAGTGCATTTGATTGTATCAGGATCACTCATATTATATGAATTTCGTGCATTACATTCACAGTGTTTACAGGATTACGTTCTCAGCAGTTATTCAGAGTCTGGGATGTTCACTTCTCTCATTTTCATTAGGCACAGTTTATTTCCCTCAGTCACTCAACCACACCTGAGTCTTCACAGAGAAAATGCAGAAATAAAAATACAATCTTTGCTGTGGGGTGCTTGAACGCTGCAGACAGTGTCATGTAACCATACATGACAAATAGCCAACACACTTCTGCAGATTTTACTACCTCGGGAACAGACTATGTTTTAAAAACACCCATGGCTTTAGGCTTCATGTGTCAAGTTCTGCATCAAATACACCCCTTTTATAGCCAGAGCTCTGACAGGAAAAAACACCCCCACCTCCAATTAAAAAACCAGATCCCTCACCCTCTGCAGATGCACGTGTGGATACTCCATGTGGTAATGTCACAATTTCCTTCAGGTCTTCACAACGGAGAACTGCCCGGGCCTGTGGGAAAAGGAGGCTGTATGTCATGGCCCTTTCTCCCACTGCCCTGGGGCAGATGTGGGGAACGGCAGCTTTGGGGTGAGACCTCCTGAGGGGAGAGACTCTGTGAGGGGGAAGAGATCCCTGTGAGGGGGAAGAGATCCCTGGAAGTGAGACCCTTGAGGGGACAAACTGCTGAGGGGAACACTGCTGATGGGGAGAAGACCTACAGAGGGGTGAGTCCTCGTGAACTGAGGGGAGACCCACCATAGGGGTGACTCATGAGGGGTCAGACCCAGTGAGGAGACAAGACCTATGGAGGGCTGAATCCTCCCCAGGGGAGCGACCCCTGAGGAGAGGGAAGCCGGCTGAGGGGCAACCGTGAGGGGAGAGGACGGACCCGCTGAGGGGAAGAGACTTGCGAAGGAGCGAGTCCTCTTGAGGGGAACTCAGAGCTGAGGGGAAAGACCCACAGAGGCAGGAGAGACGTTCGTGAGGGGTCAAAAGGACGCGAGCCGAGGGGAGAGACCCTCTGAGGGGAAGAGAGCCGCAGAGGGGTGAGGCTTCCCCAGGTCAGCTACCTGCTGACGGGAGACCCGCGAGGGGAGAAAGCCTCTGAGGCGGGGAGGCTTCCGACAGAGGACTGGCTGCGGGCAGACTCGCGGAGGTGCGAGTCCTTCCGACGGGAGAGAGCCGACGGGCGGAGAAGCGATCCCTCCGCCCTGGCCGCTGAGACCCCCTGTGAAGAGCCACCGAGGCTGCGGCACGGGGGCACCCAAGCGGCAGAGCCGGCGTGCTCGCGGTTTCTTTGGGCGAACCGCTCATTATTCTTTCCGGCCCATCGCGGGGCACCGTGAAACGAAGGCCGCGTCCCGCTTCCCACAGGCGGGGCGGGCGGCTCCGAGCAGCGGCAACGGCGCGAGCAGCAGCGCCGCCTGGCGGGCAGGGCGGCGCGGGGCTGAGGCGCGGGGCTGAGGCGCGGGGCTGAGGCGCGGGGCTGAGGCGCGGGGCTGAGGCGCGGGGCTGAGGCTCCCTCCCCTCGCGGCTCCTCGTGCCTGACTCCGTCTGTCTGCGGCGGCGGCAGCTGCCGCCACGGATACGGTGTCGGAGGGCCGGGGAGGGCGCGGAAACACCTGTTTCCAACACGAGGAAGGTGGGGAGCGGGCCCGCGGCCGTTGTGGGGAGCGCCCGCCCCGGCCCCTCAGCGCCCGCCGCTCGTAAACCCGCCCGTAAAACCCGCGGGATCGCTTTTCAGAAAGATCGCTTTCGGCGCGTACGCATCCCGCTGAGAAACGCTCCTCCAGCCCCTCTCGTTTCCCCGCGGTGTCCGTACGGCGGGGTGGGGGCACGGCCGGAGCCGGGGGGAGCGCGGCCGGGGGGTCGGGAGCGGCCGGAGCGGGGCGGCCGGGGTTCCGTGCTTCCGACCTGCCGACAGCCGCTGCGCCTCGCTGCAATGTGCAGCTTTTTCCTGCCTTTTTT